AACTCTCGAGAATAAGATCCGACAAGGAAGACTGGTGCTTCAGCCGACAAGAAACTGTTGAAGCATCACGACGTGTTCTGCGAACGCAACCCTTAGTGAGACACCAGTGATCGATTACTGGACATATTTCCATTCATTGTGCAATCTTGATATCAATATTGCTATAGCAAATACCTCACTCGTGAGAGGTCTCAAATTCATTTCCGTTGCAGATTGACTCACTACCCCCTCGAATACAGGGGTATATCTAGGGTCTTATTTTCGGCATCCTTAATCTTCTCATTCCCTCATCATAGCTCCAACATAATGTCTGCGCCCGCGGAACATCCAGTCGATCCCGGCAAAGATCAGGACCGCACCCAGAACGGCACTGGCGTAATTCATGTTCAACGCGGTGACAGGTTTCGAAGCAGGCAGAAGGAGAAAAGCAGTCACGAAAATGATCCAGCAGATGGAGATGATGTTGCAGATGATGCCAGAAGCGTGTGACAACTTCCAAGGCCCCCAAGTCAGCATTTCAGGGGTCCGTAGCCTCCGATAGAGGATGGCCACCACCGGGAAGAGGTAAGAGAGGTTCAAGGCGACGACTGTCAGGGAAAGGATCGCACCGAATGCCGCCGTGGACGCGATGTTGAGTAGGCCCAAAAGAGCCAGTACGACCGTGATCAAGATGAGAGCATTCGTGGGAACTCGACTTTCGGCGTTCAATTGAGACAGCCAGTGATGGAAAGGGGGACCGCGGTCTCTGGCAAAGGCCCAGAGGGTTCGGGATGTCGCGGCGGTTAGACCGACAGTCGCAAGAGACGCCGAGATGATGATGGTGGAAGTCATGGCACTCGCTGCGGCAGCGTTCTCCCTCGTCATGTAGTAGAAGATTTGGATGATGGGGAAGCCGGTGGACGAGGACAGAGCGTCTTGAATGCTGGGCATTCCAAACAGGATGGCGATGAGCAAAGCAAAACCCATGGTGCCATTGATGAGGATCGAGCCGACCATGGCACGGGGAACCCCTGTCCTGGGATTTTTCAGTTCTTCCGAAATGTGAGTTGCAGAGTCGTAGCCTGGGAAGGTCAAGTCAGCAATGCACTGGACCATCCGATGGTAGCTTGCAGAAGAAGTTCAAACTCTCTCAGTGGCAAGGCGAGGTTTTGAGGCAGATCAATAGGAAGAAAGGTGGTTGATCTCTCTTACCAACCAGGATGTATGCAGATGTCAACATTCCAAGACACCATGCAACACCGTTATTCTCCCAGCCTGAATTGTTTTGAAACTCCGAAAACACAAACGCAGCCGAATGTCTTTTCGGTGGGATGATGCACACTGCGATGAGGATCATGAAGAAGAACAGGATGTGCAGCGTCATGATGAGGTTCTCGAGCAAGGGTAGGATTCTGCTACCCCACTGGTTGAAGCAGAATGAAAGCAACAAAATGCCAATGTAGATGAGGGTGGTGCGGTATCGTTCAGGCGCAAGGTCAGGATTGCTCAACGATGCCAATCCCTGGATAAGATTCCCCGCCGCGTAAGGTGCACTCGCGGTCAAAGCAACCCAGCCGAGTAAGGTGATCCATCCGGAGAAGAAGCTCAAGAATGCTTTGTATTTGGGGGAGCTCATCTCGCCAATGAATTGATATTGACCGCCGGCACCGGGGAACCTTTTTTGATTGTCAGTCATGAGTCAAGTCTGACATACCAGAAAGGGACTGGGGAGAAGTGTTCAACTCACATTGATGCTGCTTCTCCCAGGGAGATAGCTGTAGCCAAATTTCCAACCACAGCCACTGGAACAAATGGTCAGTCTCAGGGCTCCGTTACATGTATAGTCGTCAGCATATATCCAATTGGTAACGTACACATGAAACCGTATAGTAGAGAAACCGGTCCTCCACTGACCAAGGATGCACCCATGGTACTGCATAGAGCTTCCCATGTTGCCATAAGAGACGTCGCGAGTGATAGAGTGGATAGGGTGTTGAAGTTTTTGCGGGGAGTCTATTTTCATATCAGAACTGTTTAGGACTCCTTTTCTGTGTGCTCCTCTTACAGTGACGAAGTCTCCCTCGACCACTGGTACTTCGGCAGCATCACCAACAGAGGCTGAGGTCGTCTTCTCCATTGAAAGCTTCGAGGCTGGGGAAGAAGTCACTGCTACGAAGTTAGTATAGATCTCATCACTGCCAGCCAGAGGTTCAAGGTACTTGTTGCTTGCGTAAAAATAGATGCGGACTGTAGATACAGTACTCCCAGGGGTGGTTGAGAAAGGCACGATTTACATTGATCACCAGTTCAGGAGGCCTGGGGAATTGAAGCCGGGTGTTTTATACAATGAAGCATCATCTCCTGATTGTTATGTAGTACCTAGCAGTGTTGTGCACACTACACCAATTCACGCACTCGCATTGGTGCCCTCCTTTAGCTGCGTCGAGATTTGGAATTCGCGATAAGAAGGAGGTACCTCCAGGCAGGTCTCTATCAAAACCGGAACGCCCTTATCGGAAGCGGAACCGGCCAAACCGAAACGATACTATGAATCCCACATTCTAGAAACCTACACAGTAGTATTCAGGAGTGATTTCCTAGTTACCAACTAGGTCTGTACTGATTATGCACATGCAGGCAGTTTTCTTTATGCAACTCCCGCTTGTATCAGATTCAGGTTATCTTCACCTCTTCTGTATATGCCACTTGACCACCTTTGGAGCCGTCCATTCGTCCAACGCCTCTTTGCCCATATCTCGCCCAAAGCCGCTCTCCTTGACTCCTCCAAAAGGAGTGTTTGCATTGACTGTACCCCAAATATTCACCGTGACTTGTCCTGCCTCTATAGCTTCAGTGACCCTGAATACTCTATCTAAGTTGTTAGAGAAAACAGCCGCACTCAATCCATACGATGTGTCATTGGCCCTAGCAATAGCCTCTTCTTCTGTTTTGAAGGATGCGATGCTGGCGAACGGACCAAAGATCTCCTGCTGCATGATACTCGCATCTTGAGGGACGTCTGCAAAAGCGGTGTTGGCTATAAAGTGCCCTGTTCCTGGCAGCTTCTCGCCACCATGTAAGAGCGTAGCACCTGATTCTTTTCCCTTGTCGACAAATGATAGCACGTTATCACGTTGGCGAGCGCTGATGATGGGTCCTTTCGTGGTTGTCGCCAATAACGGGTCTCCATGCACAGCTTCGCGGCTGCGTTTGCTGAACTCTTGCACGTACTTGTCATAGATGGTATCTTGGACATAAATACGGCTCCCAGCGATGCAAATTTGCCCGTTGTTGGCAGTTATCCCTATCATCGTCCAGAACAGGGCATTCTCAAAATCGGCATCGTCGAAGATGATGGACGGTCCCTTACCGCCTAGTTCCAATGTGACCTTCTTCAAGTTCGTGCGAGCTGAGGTTGCTAGAATCTGTCTGCCGACGGCCGGACTACCAGTAAATGAAATCTTCCGAACAACTGGATGCTCAGCGAGCCTTTGGCCAGCTACTTGACCGAGGCCACAGACAATGTTAATAACACCAGGAGGGAAACCTGCTTCACGAATGAGCTCGGCAAGCTTCTGACCATATAGCGGGCAAAGCTCAGGGGTTTTGATGACGAGAGTGTTGCCTGCTGCAATACATGGTGCTAACTTCCAGATTGTGATCATCCTGAGGAAAACTGTCAGACCTGGCAGGACCGTATACTAACTACCTTCGGTGGTTTTGACTTACAATGGGGAGTTCCAAGGCACAATTGCGGCGCAGACGCCATAAGGGTCACGTCTCGTGTACGCCATGCCCTCGGGGATAGTGAGTGCCAATCCATCGACCTTGTCAGCCCAGCCTGAGAAATATCTAAGATTCTCCAGAGCTTGAGGGACGTGAAGTCCGGTGGAATCACTGTATAGGATTCCAGCATCCAGTGACTCCAAGGTCGAGACATCAGAAGCATCACGTTCCAAGAGATCCGCCAGCTTGCTCAACAGCTGCCGTCTGGTAGAGGGTGAAACAGATTTCCAGCTAGCGAACGCCTTCTGCGATGACTGGACCGCCCTGTCTATGTCTTGTTCCTGTGCGCACGAGACAGTAGCAAGATGCTGGCCAGTTGCTGGGTTCTCAAGGTCAATTGTGGCATTTCCAGTGGCAGGGATGAATTCATTGTCAATGAAGAGCCCGGTAGGCACTACACCGGGTCAGCTGATTATACCTGATGTTATGACTGTGAAGTGTGTGTATACCTTGAATGACATGATTATTGAGACCTTTCAATGATACGACCGTCATGGTTTTTTCTAATGCAGAATTGATTGTCATCAACGGAGATAGCAACTTGGATTTTCTGTTTCTGATAAGTCATCCTAATATCTGAGGACCCATGCCGTTGCGTATTCGGTCTATGAAATTGGCGCCTCCTTTAGAAGACAAAGCCACATTGACATGAGATACGGAATAGCCTTCCGTCAAAGATAACGGTAATATCAAAGTTATCCACCAGGCTGGTAAGATAAGATCCAATTCTGACTACTTTGGAACTCCGCCTGCACCCCGGCTGTTGTGGAGTTCACCAACCGACTCTGACTCTGGATTCCTGCAGGTACCGAGAAACCGTCGTCGGCGGACAAAGTGGACTTGGTGTTCTTGTGACCAGCCATCAAACTGCCGACGAGACCAGCAGGTAATGATGGGTTCTGGCAAAAGACTCCCCATCGAGGGAATGGTAGGTACCTAGAGCCAGATTGGAGATAGTCGTCGTTCTCTGGGATGGCATGGGTGGGTCGTATTTCGGAATTTCCGTAGTATTCCGACTTCGTCTTTCCGAATTCCCCCTCTTCGCGTTTTACGAGCACGAGGCAACAGCAGAATGCTCACTACTCTCAGTTAGGTGTCTCTTCCGGAGCGAGATGGTCAGGAAGGGAGCCTTCAGCCGACGAGAATCTGGATTGGCTAGGAAAGAGCAACTATACAATCTAGCTGGGCTGGCAGGTGGTTGAGACCATCAGTGCATCACCAACCACTTTGACACGATGTGCGTATACTTCCTACCATGTTCGAAGTACCACTACTTACAAGAGGATACTAGGGATCACAACAAGAGCAAGAAAGTATCTGCATCATTCGCCTTCTTCGAGTCCCTCGCGGAGGTATGTGAAAGCCACCAATGTCGCACACGAGCAACTGCAGGCCTCGTGACTGACACTAGAAACAGGCAGGCATCAGCCATGTATTCGTCAACTTGGGATCTGACCATCCAGCCATTATGGAGGCCTTGGCGAAAGGTCTCTCGGTGAAGGAGACCAAGTTTCCTCGGGTGATTACCTGTCCACATGAAGTAAGTTTGGGGTCCTTATCATCCTGTCTAGAGACCTACTAATCAAGGGACTTCACTAGATGGTGGCGATGTCCATGGCAGATGGATTTGCTCGTCTTACAGGGCAGCCTCAATGCGTGCTCGTCCATGTTGACGTGGGCACACAGATGCTTGGATGTGCCGTCCACAATGCATCGGTTGCTCGGTGCCCCGTACTAATTTTTGCCGGTCTATCTCCGTTTACTCTGGAGGGAGAAATGCGTGGTTCTCGTACTGAGTATATCCACTGGCTTCAAGATGCCCCCGACCAAAAGGCAATTGTAGCACAATTTTGTCGATATACTGCGGAGTTCAAAACCGGTAAGAACATCAAGCAGATGGTGAACAGAGCATTGCAGTTTGCCACAAGCGATCCATGCGGACCTGTCTATCTGGTCGGTGCTCGAGAAGTCATGGAGGAAGATGTCGAACCCTATCATCTAGATCAAAGTGTTTGGGAGAGCGTTGCTCCAGCTGCACTCCCGCCGACAGGTGTCGAGACAATCGTCAGGCTACTTTCGGACGCCCAAAAGCCTCTTATCATCGTTGGGTATACAGGTCGCAACCACGCAACAGTACCGGAGCTTGTCAACCTTGCTGAAGCCATTCCTGGTGTTCGCGTCTTGGACTGCCTAGGAAGTGATGTTTGTTTCCCGTATACTCATCGATCTTCCTTGGGCGTCCGAATCGGAAAAGACGAGAGCATTCGTATAGCCGACGCAATTGTCCTCATCAATTGTGACGTCCCCTGGATTCCGACACAGTGCACCACACGACCAGACGCCAAAATTGTTCACATTGACGTAGACCCCCTCAAGGAAAACATGCCGGTACACTATCTCCCAGCATTTCGCAGATACCGTGCCGACGCTCAGACTGCTCTGGCTCAGTTGAACGAGTATATCTCAACTCATCCTCGATACTCCTCATTGAAGAATGAAGAGCCATACGTGTCTCGCTGGGAGACTCTGGCAGAAGATCGTCGAAAGGCTCTCGAGAAGGCTGACAAACTAGCTGCACCGCCAGTAGACGACTCTTTACCGCCCAGTACTTCTTACCTCTGTTCAGAACTACGCAAGAAGTGTCCCAAGGACACTATCTGGACGGTGGAAGCTGTCACAAATGCCATGTTTGTCTACGACCAGCTTCAGATCGATGAGCCAGGCCACCTCGTCAATGGCGGAGGGGGCGGCTTGGGTTGGTCTGGAGGTGGTACTTTGGGTGTCAAACTTGCCTCCGACTGGTTGGCAGGTGGAACTAATAAGGGTAGTTTTGTTTGCGAGATCGTGGGTGATGGCACCTACATGTTTGGTTCGCCTTCCACTGTTTACTGGATCGCACGGAGGTATCAGATACCTACTCTGACGGTTGTTTTGAGCAACAAAGGTAAGATCTATCCGTCCCATGCGCTCAGATGATCCTCCTTTCTATAGATAACCCATACACTCGACCACTGCAACATCCACATGGGTTCTGAAGTGTAAGCTAACACTTAAGTCCAGGTTGGAACGCACCACGAAACTCACTCGAGCTTGTCCATCCAGATGGCTACGGGTCTAGGGTGTCAAATGAAGACCTCAACATCTCTTTCGCTCCGACTCCTGACTATTCAGGAATAGCAAAATCTGCAGCCGGTGGAAACGCATTCGCAGGTGTCGTACAGAGTGCTGCAGATTTGCAACGCTTGCTTCCTGAAGCTGTCGAGACTGTCCGAAGTGGTACTTCAGCCATATTAGAGGTCCGTCTACAGGGCTCATGGGATAAGAACGAGGTGAAGCTGTAGGATGGCATCATCTTCTCCAGGCACGATGCTATGATTCAAGCCTCTGCGAGCCCCAGAGCAGGAGAATTTTGTCGAGCTATAGAGTTTCCGATTTAGATATCAAAGTAAATTTTGTACTTTTCAATGGATGATGTAGCTTGTATGGACTGTATACCATTTTGAAGTGTTCTCAAATGCTCCTTGCTATCCCGACCAACATCAATTGCCATTTTCGTGTTTCGTGTGCAAAACAATCATAAGGCTGAACCAGACAAGATTGAGTTTCGTACAGACATATCCTGTTCCCTCAATATCCCCGAGAATATCAAGCATTTTCGCAAATGTGAATCTGGCACTGCCAAACAGATGACCGTCGTAGTGGTGGCAACCTTTGCGATTGGTTAAATCATATGAGTGGATACAGACTCTGGTCGCCGGAGCAGTTCCGAGTCGGAACAGTCAGCCATGAAGCACCTGAATCTGCCTTCCGACCCTCGTACGTCCAAAATTGGCTTTGTACGATGGCATGGTGCCATGTATGCCTTGATAATCTCGGCAGTGAACGATTCTGATGTCTCGTCCCCAATGATAAATCGACATCTCACCACAATCGAGGTTCGATATCGCAAGTGAAGCCAGAATCATTGAAGTGAAAGTGGTTCCCCCAAAATGCCTTCTAAAACCGGATGGAGGCAACTCGACATCGCCGTTGTCGGAGGCGGAATTGGAGGTCAGGCGGCCGCTACGTCTCTTCGACGACAAGGTCATAAGGTGACCATCTACGAGAGGGCCGACTTTGCAGGTGAAGTTGGTGCTTCTATCTCTTGCGCCGCAAACGGAACCCGATGGCTCGAGGAATGGAAAGTCAACATCGAACTTGGTGACCCCGTGGTACTCAGAAAACTGATCAGTCGAGACTGGACAACCGGCGAGCCCGTCAGCGTGTACGACCTGGCAGATTACAAGGAGCGTTGGGGTTATGTAGGTTTGAGGCTGTTCCCGACAGAGAGGGTTCCTCGGTTGACGAATGACAAAAACAGGTCTACAACATGTTTCATCGTCAGTATATGCACAAGATGCTGATGGACAGCGCCGTCGGTGAACACGGAGCGGGGATACCAGCTAAGCTGATTGTCAACCACAAGGTACGTCTTTTAATCTTTTCAACGCGAGACAAGGGCTTTACTAAGCTTCATGCACTGTAGGCGGTAGATGTCGACGTCCAGACTGGAGAGATCACTTTCAGCAATGGCGAAAAGGTACAACACGACGTGGTCATCGGTGCTGATGGCATCGGATCAGCCCTCCGGAATGTCCTAGGGATCAAGACTATTCGAAAGCCTGCAACGTGTACCTGTCTCCACACCAACGTGGACACCGAGAAAGCAGTCCAGCTCGGTCTGGTAGATTACTCCCAGAACAGTGCCCTGGAGTACTGGGGCGGTTATGATACCCATTTTAAGATTGTTCTCTCGCCGTGCAATGGCGGCAAGTTGTTGTCATACTATTGCTTTTTCCCACGAGAGGCAGGTGACCTCCGAGCTATGACTTGGGATCAGGAAGCTACGCTTGATGAGCTGCTTGCTCCATATCCGGACCTGGATCGACAGGTCTTCAAGCATCTTGAGATTGGATATGAGATTCGGCCATGGAGACTGTGGCTTCATGAACCCTACCCCTTGTGGACAAAGGGAGTGGTCGCTCTTATGGGTGATGCAGCACATCCGGTAGGTACTTAGAGAGCCATGAGAAGCCGCAAAAAGGTGAGCAGCCCTGGAGACTGACGCAGATATAGATGATGCCGGACCAGAGTCAGGGTGCCTGTCAAGCCATTGAAGATTCTGCCGCACTGGGTCTTGTCTTCAGCAAGGAGCACTTTGACGGCGATATCCAAGAGTCACTAGCGGTCTTTGAACAGGTTCGCAAACCCAGAGCAACCAAGGTGCAAGCTGCATCAGCAAAAGCACGTGAGAACATTAACGAACGTATTGGTATGTTGGTACTCAGCTGAATTTCTAATGCGGATGGAAGCTAATACCGGCCTCGCGTCAGGATTTTCGGACAATACGAACACAGCCGTGTACAAAGTATCGGACGAATCCAGTAAACTCACCATCGAGGAAATGAACAGGTAAGCACCATGATTGTCTCTGTGGTTGAAAAGTATGGGCTAAGCAACCCTCATAGGTATGATATGAAGGGCCATATTGCAGATGTATTCCGAGCGCGCCGGGAGAAAGGGGCTTGAATTGATAGATAAAGACTAGATAGATGTCACTGGATTTGGTCGTTATTAGACCTCGTTCTTTCATCAAAGGTCACGAGTGAAATGGACGCAGTACCCGACAACTGTACGTCGGCCCGCGAGTCACAATTGCACGGAGTCAGTAGGGAAATAATTACCCCCCCCCCTCGCTTGACCTGGAAAGGGCTACGGAAGCCTCGAAAGTACCGAAGGGTGGTGAATCGTAGCACTCTAACTTCGATATTTGTCATTAAACAAAAGCACGGTATCAGTGGAGGGGGATTGCCTGCTAGGAAGCCGCCACAAAGTCTCCGTCGGTGCGCTTACGTGGTTTCGGGTCACGGGCGACCACACAGACCTCTCTCCCCGAAGGACACTGTAGGTGCGCGGGCACCTTATTAGGCCCTATCGTGGTGTGGAGAGGGAGCACCATCTTAGGGTTAGGTGGCCCTAACCTTCTCTTGATAAGCCTCATTTAATAATTGTGGTTTATCTTGCCCAGGTAAACCGACCAGCCCCAGCTCCCAGCCCTAGGCTTCCTTAGGCCCTTCTCTAGGCGTTCCAAGTACCCAATAGAGGTCCTCTGGATGCTTTCTCCCCCATCGTCGGCCTCGTGATAGGAGACGCCAGGCGATAAAGGGCAAGCTAGCCACCCCGCATCCGAGCCCCCCTGTACCCACGCTTTATCTCTCGCCTGCCGAGTTCAACTCTGCCGTCCTTCTTATCGCTAAACAGCTCAAGCTGTTTGCCCTTTATCTTTGCTCCCCCCTCTGTCCGCCCTTGTATCTGCATGGGTATAACTCGGAAGGGAGGGACCCTCGCAATATATTCTTTCAATTTTCCGTTTTGATCCATGTGTCTGAGGTTCCCACACTACATCTCAGGCCACTCCAGTCTGAATATTATGACAGAAATGGCTCCAGAGAAGAGAACCTTGCCGCAAGTGACTACCACCGAGCCTAGTAAGAAGCGCGCTCCTTACACGCCTCGTGCTTGCGATACTTGCCGCAAGAGAAAAGGTCGCTGCAATGGACGAAGACCATGCGAGTATTGTCTCGGTCGTTCCTTTGAATGTCACTACACCCTCAATCTCGACGAACATCGAAATGAACAGCCTCAGATCTCTGGCAGTAATCCGCAGCAGGCGGGTAGTGATCCGCGTGAAAATGGTTCAGAGTGAGTCTCGCCTCTGTCAAGCCACAACCGAACCTGCAACTAATTTTATCATTTTGTTATCAAGGCGACTGGACTCTCTAGGAGAACTTGTAGCAAGCATGCAGGGACAGTTGAATGCGCTCGTTGCCCACATGAAAATGTCGGGCGAGATGTTCTCTTCCGATACTACACGGAGACCTCGAGATGTGGGAGTCCAGAGAGGCTTGCCTTCATCTGAGCCGCCAGCCATGATTGGATTCTCTAACAACAGCACACTATCCCCAACAACGGACTCTGGGAGCAATAGTCGGCCTTCACGACGCGCCATGAACGTCTTCTGTGGACCGACAAGCCCAGAGTACAGTCTGAACGCGGCGCAAAGGAAAATGCAGTATGAAGCGATGAGCGGCGTCAAGCCCGGTCAGACAATCGCTCCTAGCATCGACGATGAGCAATTTGACGACGAGCAAGACCAGCAGTGTAGTCAAGCGAGTGAAAGTCCCATGTACATCCAACGGCCTTCGGAACAAACCTACCAAGCAGCATTGCTGCGTTTCAGGAACATGATACCCATATCTGAAGCTGTGAGACTTTTACGCGTCTACCACAATGTCATTGGAGAGTTGCATCCGATTTGTGACATAGAACACCTTATCAAGCAAACCGAGACATACTACAAGCGATCCAATTCCGAGACAAGCATTCTGGCGAGCCCCAACATTCCCATCGACGAAGATGACCTACTTATGGTGAACCTGGCGATCACGATTGCCCTCAGCGCCGAATCCGGAACGTCTTTAGACGCGGGCAAGACGATTTACGACAACTGCTCCGAAATCATCAAATCGAAACTGGCGAGTCCGGCGGCAGACACAAAGCATGTTGCCATTGTCCTTCTTGTGGTGAGTATTGCAACCGCTCTCCATCATTGGTCTTACGCGATGATATTAATTATCATGTGTACATACAGGGCGTTCATCACTTCTTCAAGGCTGCGATCCGTCTCGCCTGGCGCATGTGTGGACTTGCAGGCCGCATGGCGATGGAGTTAGGACTGCATAACCAAGAAATGTCACAGCATTGTCTCGAGAATGATGAGCAACGGACCGCGGTCGTGAACCTATCCTGCAGCATCCTGGTGCTGGATCGTCAATGGAGTGCTGCAGCTGGACTTCCCAACAACTTTCAAGAATCAGATTTTGACGCTGCCATAGTCTCTGCGGTTAGTTCAGGATACCTTGTGGTGTTTGTGTGTGGACTACTGCTGACCTCTTCGAACCCAGGTCCAAGTTCCATACGTAAAGTCGATGATGGCCTTTACGTTGATGAGCAACAAATTCAACGAGCCAATTTCCAGAGCGGCGAAAGGAGAAGTCTACACGGACGACGATTCCTTCGAAGTCACCAACTTTTTGATCGAACAATGGAGAAAGAGGTCCTTCGAGAATCACAGCTTTGCCGATCCATCAATGTGGGAGACCATGCCTTCGACTAGACCACCTTCCTGGACCATCATATTATACCTCCGAGCCAATTCAGTTCGAGGCATTCTTCTACGACCCTTCTTCCTGTCCGACTCCGCCACCGATGCGAGCAAGAGACACATAACGCCCGCGCTGGACATCATCACGGACTCGATCAATATCCTTTCTGTCCTGGACCGGACCACGAATATCTACCGAACCCAACACCCTTTCCTCCAGCATTTCTTGGCCGGCGCGTGTGCCTTGCTTTTCCTACTTCTCGTCCACACGGCACAGAACCGTGCGGCAATTTCCCCCAACCTCCCCGACGACTTTTTGACCAAGGTCAACAAAAACTTCTGGAAGGCCCTGGACCTCTCTCAGTCATATGTCGGGTTGTCCATCTCTTCGCGCAAACTTTACAAACGCCTGGCCACGATCAAAGAACCACTTCTCCGGGTCGGCTTTCTCTCGAATGATGAATGTCCTGCTCATCTCGTTCAACCGGACATGGGGGCCATGCAGCCGATAACTTCTTCTTGCCCCCTAGGAGGACAGAGGCAACTGGTGCCAGAACACTTGGAGCCAAACGGGCAGCAGCAGGGCTTGAGGCAGGCGGCTCATAATAGCATGGAGGTCCAGCCCATCACAATGGCCGCTGCGTTTTCTGACATCTGGAACCCCATGTTCGGAGCGAGTCCAGGCGATAGTGCCTTCAATACTAATTTCGAATTCTCGGACTACGATTGGCCGTCGGGTGAGCTTGCTAATTGTCTTTTGTTGGATGGATCTTCTTCCGGCTTTTGAGAAGAAGGTAATCTGAGTAGCATTGGACTGAATGAATTACAGACCTTTTGGTCACTGGTTCAAGTAATGGCATGATTTGGACGGCGGATTGTCTTTCAAGGGGTTTATCTGGCTGCGGGAGTTTTTGAATAGGGGTTAAATCTGCAAATGAGGTAGCGAAGCGCGGCGAAAGAATCTTGGGACGAGAGTCTGGAATGTATTTCTGATAGCAAAAGTTGACCAACTAAGATATTATATTCCAAATGTGAAAGCGAGCCTTTTCTAGTCTTATGCATATCTCTTTCGTATAGTCCTACAACTTGAGTTCTCGATCCCTTTAGACCTCCTTGACTTGGTACTCCATCATTTCATTTGATGGGACCGAGTTTCTTTCTCTCATCTTCGAAGCAACCTTGAGTCCTTCGACGGGGACTTTGTACTCGAATTGTTTTCCAGGTGTTGGCGTCCTTCCATCTGCGAGTGGGTATGGGTACGGCAAGTACTCTGGCATTAGACCCAACTGTCTCAACGCAGTACCTTGGTCCCAATTGATGTGTTCATGGTACAATCTGTCACCTCTTATATTCACGACGGCATGAAATGGTACCTCTGCTCTTTTGAACGTGGGAGGGACACCGGGTAGGCTATACGTTGTCTTGCCGTCAGTATCTTGGGTACAATCTCGGTCACTGCACCAATCATCAAGAAGAAATATAACTTACAACCAATCTAATTCTTTGTCGTGGGTGAATTTGAACAAAAATTCATCGACTATCCTATCAATCCCAATCGTCCGACTCAAAAGTTCTTGGTCGGTGTCGAGGGAGTTTTCAAAGATGAAATTGTTTCGGTAGAATGAGGTTAGAGCTTCACGTCCTATTCCTCCTGTCATCTAGAACAAGTGGGGGGAAAAAGTCAGAGAAACCAAGGATACACGATCCGACAGATATTTATAGGGATACCACTTACCGTAGGTACATGATTCACATAAGGTTCTTGAACCATGGTGCTCATGGTGTGTTCTACCGAGCGATCCGTGAATTCATAATAGGTGTGCTCGTCCCAGATGGTCTCTAGGTCGAAATATGGCCCTCCCATGAGTGGCTTGAGGAAGGTGAGGTTTCGGGTGTGGGAGAGTGCTTCGGTGTTGTAATGGAACGAAGGTGTGAAGGGGGTTGCGAATTCGCAAGACTTGATGTCAGGGTAGTAGTATGGTCGCGGGCCGTTGTCGTTGGTGGTCACTTGTTTTGAGTCTGTTCTAGGGCTGTCGGTGCCGACGATTTGTCTCAGCAGGGGTACTTTGCAACTAGCCAGACCGGTTACATCTGAGGCATTTGCGTATGTGATGGCGGCAACGACCTCTGGAACGTTTTCCAGGGCCGGTGCAATCTTGTTCCATAGGCTTGGGACGTAAGCTAAAAGGAACAGGATAGATGTTAGCCAAGTCAAACAGCACAACCATAAGCGGTATGGTGAACGAAAACGTACCAACGAGTCCGATTATACCCTTGGGTTCACATTTGTCACACTTTGCCAGAGCATCAACCGCGAGCGTGAGCAGTAGCGTCGAGACATCACCCGATGCCGCAAATGCCCTCTCCTCTATCCCCACGACAGCATACCCTTCCTCGGCCCACTTGACCAAATGTGAGGGGACCCCGTCTTTGATGGCCAGTGGGTCACTTGTGTCCGTTGTGAGGACAATGAGACCAGGTCCATAGCCCCTTCGAGTCAGAGGCAAAAGGAGCGAGACCCCGGGTTTCAGTTCTTTCAGGTTGACACTTGGCAAAGGCGGAGGTGGCTTGGTGATGTCGTTGTACTTGCTCATGATGGGCAGGGCTGAAACTTCGCGACAAATGGGCGAGCCGGTTTGCTGGGGGAAAAGATGTTCACACTTTCGATGATTCTATCTCGCCGATCAAGCAGAGCAAAGCAAAGAATTTCAAATTATTGTTATGGGGCGGCAGCCAGAAATGAATGTTCTCCTGTGTCAATATGGCACTTTTCGTGGACGGGCGGTTGTGGGTCCGGCCTTTCGAGTTCGATATCTCCAATCACTATCCGCGGAGTCCTCGTACCGCGGGTGACGATTCCGCCATTCCGAAGATTAGCAAAGGCAGGTCGTGAAGCTTCCGAATAATCAAAGTTTACGTCGGATAGTGGACGGATAGTGGAACGATACGGCCATTGAGTCATTATCCGACTGTTCCTATACAGTATCGGTTTTATGTTTGGGAGGGTGGTGATCATTGATGATGATGTACTGAAACCATCTGGATAGGGCAAAAAGAGAGAGGGAAATTGGAATTTGTGTGTGCCGATTACTACTCGAATCTCTTTTCTCGTGCCCGAAACTAAGGATACTACTACTGTTACCCTCTTGCCCTCTAGTTCGAAAGATGGCACCGCCGCTGGAAAACGTCCGACCAACATTTGAACTACAGAATCGCAACTATGTCATCACAGGAGGTGCTCAAGGCATCGGGTTCGCTGCTGCACGAGCCATATGTGAGATGGGCGGCAACGTAGCCATTCTGGACGTGCAAAACAAGCCCGTGGACGAATTCGATTCTTTGTCGACCAAGTTTGGAGCAAAGACGTATTACATCCAGACAGATGTGACCGACCAAAAGAGCTTGAACGCCGCGTTTGCGATGGCCGTCGAGAAGTTGGGAAGCATAGACGGTCTTGTCCCAGCGGCAGGAATCGCCATTGATAAACCATTTGTCGACCAGACGTGGGAGGAGTTTACTCGAATTCAAGATATCAACGTAAGCCTCAAGACCACACCTTGAAATAGTTGTCACTCTGCAAGATATCTCCTGTCTACTGGACAAACAAGGAGCTAACAGAAGGCAAACAAAAAAAATTAAGTGTCGAGGTCTATTCTTCAGTTGCCAACTTGCAGCAAAACAAATGATCAAGCAAGGCACCGGTGGTAGCATGGTCCTCTTGGCTTCACAGACGGCACACGTTGCCATCCCAGGACATCGCATGGCTGCGTACAACATGTCCAAGGGCGGTGTCTTTATGTTGTCGAAAGCCCTCGGTGTCGAGCTGGCACCGCACAAGATTCGGGTCAACACCATATCTCCTGGCTTTGTCGATTCAGAAATGTTGCAGAGAGTCAAGGCGGCAAAGGGTCCTCAGGAAGCTGAACAGCTGGAGATATCGCCACCTCTGAAGAGACTGAGTAACCAGAACGATCTGACTGGGGCCATTATCTATCTTTTGAGTGAGGCGTCTAGGTTTACGACTTCTGCGGATATACCTATTACAGGCGGATTGCATGCTGGGACGATTGACGGGTTGATATACTACATGTAGTACGATTGAAGCCAACGATTTGGAAACAAAGAATCCTGGGGAATAAAGTCCCTGTCGTACCACCAGAGTATCATCATAAAGGAGGGTGGAAAAGCACGATTCGATATGTGAATCTTATTTTGAGCTTCTAGCATCCGATACGGGGGTTGGTTTGAAAGGGGTAACTGCAATTCGACTAAACAAATCTCAATTTTACCAGTATTGTTTTTTGTTTCAAACTCCAACTTATTTCTTCCCATATAATTCAACCCATTCCTCCACCAGTCCCTTATAATCCTTTGGTTTGTACGCTTCCAACAACTCCAGTATCGGCGACGACTTACGATGATTCTTCAATCCCAAGTCGTTGACCAGAAGGTCGACGTAAGGGAGTGAATCAAAAGCGAAATCAGGCAGACTGGCACCATATCCACATGGGTATCTCCATTTGCCGAATTGAGTATGTAGCATGATCTCCTTTGTGACCTCGTTTTCGGTCTTTGGAGCTCTCTTGAGCTTTCCGTCCAGATACGCAGAGATCCAAAGCCCCTGGACAGACGAGAAGATGGAGGTGACCACCGTCGAAACCATTCCGGCGTAGGCGATGTTGTTCTTGAACACCGCCGTCGAGGGCACGATGAATCGGTAGTTTCTCAACGGCTCTTCTGGTTTCGATTGGAACCGAAGGACCGGCTGGTCCTTGAGAATCGGACACATCTCGTGGACCTGCTTGTCGGCGTCCTTGGAAAGGCGTCTGATTTCCTCAGCGGGATATGGCAGGCCGCCGTTGAAGTTGATGAACTTGAGGTTCTCCGAGGTCTTCTTCCATCCGGTGGCACAGATGAGCACGTCGGTCTCGATCTGCTCGCCGCTGCTCAGGTGGACCTTGGTGTCCTCGAGCCTGGTGATGTCGGCGATGTGTACGCGAATCCTGCCTTCCTTGACCAGGTCGAAGAAATTGGTGGGGTAGTTGTGGATGCCGACACCGCTTCCCGTCCACATGGCGCTGTACCAGGGTTTCAACTTGAACAACTCTTGGTCGTCGTTGTAGCCGTGTGTCTCGACGACCTCGGAGCTGATCTGGTTCCAGAAGTTGTTGACGATCCATCTTCCCATGGCCGTCTTTTGGAGAAAGCTGTGCGCCACGGAAAACCCGTCCTCCCCTTGCCACGGACATGGACTCATAAAAGTCATGGCGCGTGTGGCGAGCAGCTCTTCCATCTTCCTCTTCAGAGGCGTGACGTATGGAGGACAGATCCAGACGGGGCCTTGACCGGCAGGGCGGATGATCAAGTCGACCTGCGCATTGCCATCGGTGGCGAATGCGTACGCGACGTCAAAGGCAGACTTTCCCGCTCCCACCACCATTGCTCTCTTGCTGGTCTTCAGGATATCTGCACGTGCACAAAAGTCTTTGGCGTGGAAGAAGGGCGCCTTGAAAGTCTCCTCTCCTGGATAGGAGGGCATGTTGGGTTGCGAGGTCAATCCAGTGGCCACTATCAGTTTCTTGGTCTGGAGTGTCTCGCTCGAAGCAGAGCTTGTAGTGCTACTACTTATGTGCAGCAACCATTCATCATTGGCAGTAGCTTCTACCGCATCAACTCTGGTCTGGAAGCGCGTCCGCTCAAAAATGCCAAACTTCTTCGCAAAGTCCGTGAGGTAGCGGTGCAGTGTCGCCGCTGGAATGTGCTGGCCCTCGGATATACCATACACTTCTTCCAGCATGGGGAAGTCTGGGAATTCGTAAGAGCCCCATAGGTTGTTCGACTTCAGTCCCGGATACAATCGATCTTTGGACCATGTCCCACCGCAACTGGATTCTGCTTCAAGGACCAGAATCCTTTCGGTTGGGTGCAGTTCGATATAGGGTTTGGCTGCTCCGAGCCCATACCAACCTGTACATTGAAGGGTCAGTGGATTTTCAAACATTGACATGATTTACATTATTGCTATTTCACTCACCAGCGCCAATGACAATAAGGTCGTATAGTTTGTCTGCTGCTCCAGCGTCGCCCATGATTGTGTGTATGTGTGTGCTCCTTTGAAATTTTTAAAAGGTGGAAACTTCGTGTAATAGATTATCAAAGAGTCCTATAAGACCTCTAGCTAGTAGTTCTGTCGCTCTACAATAACTCATGTTCTGTCATTCTTAATCCTGCTTCTGGTCCATTCTCACATGCATTCCAGATGCGGACCGTACGAGTTCTAGGAACGACACCAAAATTTGTGGGGCCGAGCCGAAGCTTCGACGCCACGGAAGAACGAAAGGATCATTCCTAAAAACATTCCGATGCAGGGTCCAAAGTTTTATCAGTGATTCGAGTCGGCGGGCCGACAACTATCAAAGAGACTTGCATTACGGCTCAGCGAAGCCCATTTCCCGCCATTCTGACTTTACTTTGTCCTTGACACTTTCAGGATACGAGGTTTCGAAGTCGACCTTCCTGAAAGGCCGTCCAGTCTCATACTCCACTTTCATCACACAGTCTTGGATCGCCTTACCTCCCCGCTTGGAATCCTTGCCCCTGCCATAACACATGTAAGGAGTGAGAGGGAAACCCGGGACGTCCTCGAACACGTATTCATCGACGCCTGGACGGCATCTGGTTGCCAGCGCCCAGATAATGTCCTTAAGGTCGTAGATGTTCACATCCTCTCCCACAAGGATGATCCTGTTAATTAGCATGGAACTCTTCTGATTGAATAGGATGTTCCCTAGCATGTTGCAGAAGTCCTTCGAGTTTGTCTTCAGAGATCGTAGTTTTTCCGTGTCAACTTTAAGTGCGCACCAAGTTCCGTGCGTCTCGAGAGGAGCATTTGCATCGATAACTGGCAGATCTTGCTCCTTGCAGAACTGGAGCAGCTCAGCTGCGGCAAGAGCTCCTGTAGTATGCTAAAAGTTGAAAGTCAGCTCGTCAACGATCTTACAGCTCCATTCAGCCTTATCGATATCTCCCATTACTTACCGACTCGTCTGTGATTCTTCCGGGAACCGAGATTGGCATGATAGCATCATCTCTGTAGGTGATTGCATCCACCCTGAATAGAGGCATGGGATGTTTATCATCGTCAAATATCAACCCAAGATAGTCTCCGAACGGGCCCTCGACACCTTTCTTATCTTCGTCTAGGTAGGTGACTCCTTCGAAGACGATTTCGCTGTTTGCGGGAACGAGCAGATCACTCAACTCACACTTGACTAGATCCAACGGCTTCCCCGTGAGTGCACCAACGTATTCACCCTCCGAGACATTTTCAGGGATCGGCAGAGCGGCCACGAAATTGGCAGCTGGAGGAACCCCAAAAGCAAGAGCCCATGGTATTTCTGTCTTGCCGGCTGCCCTCCACTTCTCACGAATGATCTGGTTGTGTTGTCCTTTCCCAACCAAGCAGACAAGGTGCTTGCTGTCGTGTATCATGCCGCGGAAGATGGACCAATTCGTCCACGATCCGTCGGGAGTTTGCAGAACGTGTACGCCGTATGTTTGCAAATATTTCCCGCCGTCGCCCAGGTGCAGGTATGGAGCAGGAAGCCTGTGTAGATCGATCTCGTCTCCGGACATTTTGTTCTTTTTACATGGCCCAGATGCCAAAATGTTGGGCTTCAATAGCTTGGAAGCTTTCGCAGCCTGGGTTTTGTCGCCGATGTCCTTCCAAGTCGCGTCTGTTGGAAGTCCTAAAATTCTTGCAAGTCGACCATACTTCTCTTTCTCGCTCTTCCTCAGACTTGCAGCATTACCAAACATCCTCCAAAGCCCGTTTTTGGCTCCTTTGACATTGTTGAAGAGCGGCGCTTTGCCATTCAGCTCACTGACTCTCCGCACAATGGCAGCCACCTCTAGATGTGGATCAACCTCTCGATTGATCTCTACTAAGTCGCCATCCTGACGGAGAACATCAATAAAAGATCGAAAATCAGTCAATGCTGCAGAAGGATCAGTTGCTGAAATTGCTGTAGGTGCGGTATGAATGTATCCAGGAATTATTTTCGGCCGTCCGATTGATCTCAGGAGCGTTTCGGACGACATATCAAATTTGTTGCTTTCGGTTGCTGCTCAACAAGATAGACTTCTGTGTTCTGTGTTACTTGACATTGGTATGCTGTTCTGACTGATTCGCTCAAGTATGTACATAAATTAGCTAGTCAATACGGAGAACGGAGGCTGCTGGAGTAGGACCGGAATCAGTTCCGGATCCGTTCAATAACTCGAGAGTGGACGATATTTATTGGATCGAAATGACAGGTGGAGCGAAAGATACGGGTGGTTGAAGATAGAGATCTAGCCTCGGTTCCCTGCAGCAAAAAGGTATCATTATCGACTTTACTAGATGGTGTACTGTACGTCAAGACACTTGACTTTTGAATTTCACCACGACAACTCCTCATACTCGGTATTTCTGCAATGTTAAAAACATGCATTCCAAAGTCACTCACTCGCGGGATTTGGCGTATTCCTGCTGCGAGGCAAGCCACATCAATGAGCTCGCGTATGCACTTTCATTCCACTGATCGGCGAATACATTATTCTCAAACTCAAGAAAAGAGCGAACTTTCAATACCAAGGCCTCAAGACTCTCACAAGACTACCCATGCTCAAGCTGCTTCCCAGAATGTGGCCGAATCTGTATCATTCATGCCACCTCGCCCCAAGAGAATCGTCGTGGGAATAACCGGTGCCACAGGCGCTATCTACGCGATTCGCATGCTCGAAATAATGCGCCAACTTCAAATCGAGACGCACCTGGTAATCAGCAAATGGGCCATGGCCACCCTCAAATACGAGACTGACCTCTCTGAGGCCCACATCAGAGGCCTGGCAACCGCCAGCTACACGGCAAAAGACCTCTCCGCCCCGATCGCTTCTGGGTCGTTCCAACACGACGGAATGGTCATTGTGCCCTGTAGCATGAAGACGCTAGCAGCTATCCGGATTGGCTTCTGCGACGATCTAATCTCACGCGCTGGGGACGTGAGCCTTAAGGAGGGGCGCAAGCTACTCCTCGTCGTCCGTGAGACGCCTCTCAGTGACATTCACCTGGAAAACATGCTCACTTTGAGGCGAGCCGGAGCGACTATTTTCCCTCCCGTGCCAGCCTTCTACACTCGGCCTAAGGATCTAGACGACATGGTCAACCAAAGTGTTGGCAGAATGTTTGATTCTTTGGGTATCTACATTGATAATTTCGACAGATGGAACGGGTTTGAGAGGCAGAAGA